CAGTTTCATCCCAGGTTTCTTGATCGTTTTCGGGATGCTCGTCGATGCGAAGATTATTCCTTCTAAGTCTATCTTCTAGCTGTCATAGTTTATCCTTTTTCTCCTCGCCTATGATATTTTTATTTTTAATTTTCTTTTCTAATTCGCATACCTTTTTTTCTTGGATGTCTTGTGTAACTGTTAAGCTTTCTTCGATATCTTTATTTGTCTTTTCTAAGACTCTTACTTTCTCTGTAATTTCTTTAAGTTTAATGTTTACCTTTTCGTTTTCTTTTTTTGAGTCGCAAATTTGTTTTGATTTATGTATTTCATCAAGTGGCTCGTTTATTTTATCGTTAGTTATTTTTAGGTTACCACTTATAAGCTTAAAGATATCTTTCTGCTGTTTTGAAAATATTTCATGGAAAATATCTCGAATAACATTTGTTGGAATTTGTGTTTCATCTATATTACCCGTTTCGTTAGATTTTTTTCGAACAACAATATTTTTTTTATCCATTTAATAAGTTTATTTTTTGTTATTAAAAAAAAAAAAAGTTACAAAAAGTAATTATTTCCTCTGAATAAAACACGTCTGTTCGCCACAAAACATTTTTATAAACAGTTTGGTTTCTAGCTAATTATTCCTAGAACGAAAAAGGGCAAGAAGGCCGTGTTCATGCTCTCTTCCCCCTCATTTGTGCATTTGCGGTCAATGTATACTTCCTATGATCTACCATCCCTAAGACTTTGGTGATAATTAGTTAAACAATTTAAAATTTATTAAGGTTTTTAGAAATCCAAGATGGCGGTATCTCTTATCATGGATTTAAGCGTGTTCTGGTCTTGCTATGGTTTGCCACCAAATCTTAAAATAATCAGCATAATTTTCTGAGTTGTTGGTGAAAATTTCATGCTATTATCCACTTGTGCACAATTTCAGTCATTCTTAATGCTAATCTGCTCCACCATACATCAACATACGCATTGCTTCCATTTTATTAAGTAACTTTGATACCATTTAACATATTATTTTTTTATGCCGTAGTATTTAAAGTTATTTTTGAATCAAAATGTTATTATTGACGGTATCAAAAACCTTAGAAAGGTCAACAAAAATACCTATAGTAAATTGATTTTCAGGAGATTTTCCGCGTAAATTGAATAATTGTGTGTTCCGTTAAACTTTTTTTTTAAAACTAAATTGTAAAACAATTTGTTGTAATCGAGATATTTACATGTTCTATTATAAAATATTCTTGATAATAATTTTTAATATAATTATTTTTTAAGAACGTTTGTTCTTTGAAAAACTACTTTTAAAATGAATTAAATAATAAAAAAATAAATAATGGAATACTAAATTCTAATAGAATAATAAATACTAGTGTGTATCAGAGATTTTAAGTTTGAATAGCAACCGTAGCGCAGTGGTTAACGAGCTTGCCTCAAAGTTAGAGATCCGTGGTTCAACGCCACCTCTGGGCAAGTTTCATGACGTCTGTGGTGAGGGGGCATGGATTTCCTTTCGAATACTCTTCCTCGGTGCTCTGTGGTGAGGCCGTAAGGACCTCTTGGAGTATATTTATATAAAATACAAACATCACTTTTACCGGGACGTTGATTAAATGCAAACTTTATGTGCGCCAAAAGAATTCGCTAACAGTATTACTTAAGTGTGAGCTACAAACTTTAATCAAGAAGTAAAATATATTTAACAAAATAAAATGTTAAACTTATTAGTATTATTTCTTACTGAGTAAGCCAATTATGCAGCTATTCCACTTTAAGCATTTTTTTCACCTTCATCAAATTTTTTGAAAACTAAATAGTGTTATCACGATATTGAAATGTCAGTATTGATAGGCATTTTGTTAGGTACCAATACCTATCAAAATACTCAGTACCAAATTCGGAACCTAAATGAAGGCAGAATTATACTGACCTCAAACCAAATATATAATTATGCTGACCACAAACCAATTTTTAAAAGTGCATAGTGTACAACATCATAAATTTGCATTTTTAGCAAAAACTTTTTGTATTTCTAGTCTGTTTTTCTATAAACTTTCTGAATAAAGTATTTAAAAATATTTTCTGACGCTCTTTTCAATTTATTGACTCTAATTTATAGATTTTTATACGATAAGGGATTTTTAAAAATTCTTTATAAAATTGTTTTTCACTTGTTGTATTTTGTATTGTATTTTCAAATTTTTGTTATTTTACAAAAATAAGAAATTTTACAAAAAACAATTTTTAGTAAATGACTAAGAGATCGTCTATAAATTACTTAACGCAAAACTTCACAATAAACAAAACAAAAAAAAGTTTTAATTTAATCAAGAATCTTACTTCAAATAAATAACCAAAATAGAAAATTACGCGAAAATCATCGCGTAACAGAGCTTAATATCTCCTACTTCTGTTTTTTAAATATTTTTTGCGTTGCGTAATTTATGGACGATCCATTACCTTCTACCTATCAGAGAACGCTAGGAATTACCAAAACATTCCAAATTAGGCTTAAAATGACGGTAATGGTGCCGTCAAAAAAGATATGAAGCGGTTATTTTATAAAAATAATTTAGATCTAATTTTAGCGCTAAAAGAATTGTAAAATTAAATTATTCTTTTTAGAAAAAGTCTGTAAGCTACGTAGCCTGTTGTTTTTAGGTTACGTAGTTGTTGTTACTAATTGTTTTTAAGCTACGTAGCCTACAGACTTTTTCTAAAAAGAGTAATTCAATTCTTTTAACCCTAAAATTAGATCTAAATTTTTTTTAGTGTGTATACACACTAAAAAAAAGGTAGAAATTTCTACCTTACGGTAGAAATATGTGAAAACCCTTAGTATGGAATAACTTTCTACTTTTTAAAATAGAAAATTATACCTTTAAAGTAGAAAACTGAACTTCTGTTAAATGCTCTCCCGCGGTGCTCTATGATAAGACCGTAAGGACTTCTACATACATAAAATAAAAAAAGTCATTAATAAAAATTGTTTGTCCGCAAAAGGAAAAAAAGTGAGTCAACTGGTTATAATTTAATCACTAAGAATTGGTTTAAACTATTAAATACGTCTGCATCTCATAAAAATATATCTTAAAAAAAATTCTTGAGTCCTAAATAAGGTAAATTTCATTTAATAGCAAAAATAAATAAAGTAATAAAAACAGTGGCTTAAAAAAGTTAACATAAACTTTTGTAGAACGAATAAAATAATAACACCGGAAACCTTTTTATAAAATCAAATCGCGAGGTTAGAATTATTTTGTTCTATCTCCACTTTTTGAAAAAAAAGAGTTATTAATTGTGTAATGTACCTCAAAATAATGTTTTTCTACTATATTAAAACCTAAGTTAAAATCAAAAAAGTTTCGGAGAAAACATAAGTAATAAAAATCTTTTTATATGCCGTCTCCTAAAGTTTTTATTTTTTAAATCGTTTTATCTCGAAACAAAAAAATGTGGAGAAAGAACAAAATAATTCTAACCTCGCGAAATGTCTATCTTTTATATATTTTATGAGATTAGAAATGTTTAATAAAGGACTCTCCTACATTGTGAGTTTGTAAGTGAGCTCATTTTTGTCTACTATATTACTCTTGTCGTTGGCAGCAAACGAGAAATACTTCCATATCTTGTTTAAACACTTTTTTAAACTCTTTTTTATAAATGTTCTTCGGGTTTCCATTTTTGTTTTTTTTTAATTAAAAGCTTTTTAAGTCCGTTCTCTGATTTTTGACAATTTCTGCGTGGAAGGTTACTTTAACTACAATTCATCCTTTTTTTATACGCTATTACATCCTCATTTTACGCTATTACGCTTTACTTATAACGGGTTATGCATAAGTCTTCGAACTTTTTTTTGAAACTGATTTAAATAAGGGAGTAATTTTTCAACCTTCAACTTATTGTTTATTTTGAAGATCAAACATTAATGTATTTAAATCACATTTCATTTTTATCTAGACTTCTATACAAAAAGAATGACAAGGTTTGATCGAGAAGCCCTCGCAAAACGAATTGTAACGTTCTATGAAAATCGTTCAATTGATAAAAAGAAATTAACATATAAACATTTTAAAAATGAAGGAATACCAAAGTCAACTATATTTAGTATTCTTGCAAGGTATAAGAAGTATGGTGTGTATAATGATTTGGTTAGATCAGGTTGTCCTCCAAAAATGGATAAGAAAAAAGTCAAACGATTGGCTAAAATGCTAAATAATTCAACTGGTATTAGTCAAAAGTATTTAGCTTTATATTTTAAGGTGAACCAAAGCACAATTTCAAGAACTATTAATTTCAAAACAAATATTATATGCGCAAAAAACAAAAAGCACCTTTGTATGAAAAAGATCAACAACAGAGAGCCGCAACATCATCGAGAAGATTAGTTAATGAAGTATTCAATGAAAAAGATATAATCATGGATGACGAAAAATATTTTAACCTATCAAACTCAAATATACCTGGAAATGATATATATTATACAAATAATAAATTGTTAGCCCCTGATAATGTAAAATATAAGTTGAAAAAAAAATTCGAAGAAAAGGTATTGGTTTGGATTTGCTTTTCTTCAAATGGATTTTGTGAACCTTATATACATAGATCAAAGAATTCAATAACATCCAATATATATGTGAAAGAATGTATGAAGAAAAGACTTATAGCATTTGCTAGAGAACATCATAAAGATAATAATTTTGTTTTTTGGCCAGATCTTGCAACTGCTCATTATGCTAATAAAACAGAAAATTGGTTCATTGATAATTCCATAGAATTTGTACAAAAATGCACTAATCCACCAAATGTTCCACACGCTAGACCAATTGAAACATTTTGGGCTATTTTAAGTCAGTGTTTAGTTTAGTATTGTCACACGAAAACTAAACAAATAGGCGTAGAATTGTTCAAGATTTTTCTTTTTGAAAACAATGACATTTATAAATATATTCAGATAGTTATTATTATTCAAAAACAAAAATATTTCATTTTTAAACCAAAACAAATACAAAACAAACATTATTTCATGTCAACATTCTGTGTAATACAATAGTGAATACAACATCATTTTAAAATTACGCTAATTGCTATTAATATATAAATAAAAAAATTAAAAAAAAAAAACTAATAAAAGGAAACAAACAAGAAATAGAAAACAGCAAACAAACAAAACATAAAAAAAGTAACTAAAAGTAGCTAATAAAAAGATTTTTTAATGGTCATAAAATCATTTCAGAAAATGTAAAATTAATATTTATTTACAAAAATGCTATAAATATGGTAACAGCATCTCCTAGTACTTATTATTCTGATATTATTACAATAGACTACTGACATCCACACGACTAGATTTTAAAATTGTTAAAAAAATACAATTCAAATTTAAAACACTCAGAATATTAAAGATTTTAGCAATGTTTAAATATGTTTGAGTTTTAAATTTTGAATGTTTAAATAATTAAATAGAACTTAAAATATTAACGATTTGAAGATGTCAAACATAAAAATTATACTAGATATAAAAACAAATTTTATATAAAAACTATACAAAACTTATTTTTTTGACAAAAAAAATTTCCTAATTTATTTTTATTGGTTTTATTTACAATTTTGTTAACTTTACTACAATTTTTTGTTAGATATTAAATAAATAAATTATTAGCCCTAAATATGGATAACATAAGATCAAAATACCAATTGCAGTCAAGCAATTTGGGGTATTTTAAATATATCAACCTTATAAAAGGTTTAGAGAGAAAACCTTTAACTAAGTTTAAGAATCAAAATATCAATAAAACAACGTATACGATTTACCAAGTTGAAAAGATCTGTGAATTATAATATGTAATTCTTCAAGTTACAGAGAGAGATGAGATATACTAAGTTACCAAGTAGTTTTTGATTGATTTTCTAAGTTACTGAAGGACATTTATTATCCGATTAAACAGGTGATCTGTAATATACTAAGTTATCAAGTTATCAAATAATAACCCATTCAACTTCTATTGAAAATAATATATCTTGTTTTTTAGTATGTCATCACATCTAGGTTAAAAACTACTATAAATGCTCGAATTTAGAAATTATTTGCCTGATTACTTTCAATTTCAAATTACTTTTTTGAAATTCTTTGATTTTAGTTCTAATATTTCTTTTTACAACTTTTTTATCACACTCAATGTATTTCAAAACAGATCCAAAACTTGTTGGGTTGTAACTTCTATACATTTTAGCATGCAATAGATGCAATCAAGTTTTTTAGCATGCAACATTAGGTGCAATAAAGTTTTACTGACGACGTGATTTAACAAGCGATTTACCACCATTTTTAAAACGGTACTCAACATCATTATTAGAAATGTCATCACTATCCATGCTATCATTAGAGAGAAGTTGCAAGCTAACTTCACCCTCATGACTATAATGCTTTGAATTTCCTCCTTTAAAAAGTACAGGTTCCAAGTCTTTATCTTTGTAGTTCATTCGCATGTGTTTACGCATTAAAAAGTTGTCAATCACCCAAAACATCAATGCCTAAACAAGTTTATTTAGATCTAAATTTTAAATAGACTTTTAAAAAAAGTGAAAATGAAATGAAAAACAAATAGACATAAAACATTTATTAAATTTTTATTTTTATGTAAAAATACTTACATTCATAAAAAACGGGACAATAAGGACAACAAGTACAACTTCGAATCTAGGATAAGCGCTAACAGGTTTTAGAATGAACTTCTTTACTGTTGTCCAAAAATTGAATTGAAAAAGAAGAATTATAACTCCTTTTTCTATAAGCATTACAAAAACATATACAATGCACTGACACATCCATGTCATAAACTCTACAGGTCTTCCTAGTGAAAGAAAAAAAAAATTTCCACAAAATAAAAAAATACAAATTCCGATTCAAAGAATATATTAAAAAAAAAAAGATAAAAAATAAGAGAAAAAAAAAGCTTATTTACCGTACTCCCCCATTCTAAGCCGTACCCAACCTCTTTTCATAGCTACATACTCCAACAACTTTAGCAATAACCAAATAACAAGTAAACCAACAGTTGTATCAAGAAGAAAATTAATGAAGTAACTAAAAAAAATTGGTAAAGAATTGTTTTAAAAACAATCTAATTTGAACATACAAAGAAAGCAAAGATCTTGAAGTAAAGATTAATAAAGAAAATAAAAATTAGGCAACATATTATGATAACTTTCAATTAAGACAAAAAATAAAAATTAAAAAAAAAAAGTATGCATAAGTGAAAAAAATTTCAAAAAAATAAAAGCAGAGGTTCAAAACTTCAAATCTAAACTTTAATACTAAGTATTAAAGTCATAGATGAGTATTTGACTTTATGAAAAGCCCGGAAAATTTTTTCTTTGAAAATCCCGGAAAATTATTTTAATAAAAATTCCAGAAAATCCCGGAAAATTATACGGTCAACTAATTGACAAAGGTATGTGGTTATACTTTGGAACGCCGATAAAGGGATAAATAAAGTAACTAAAAACTACAGAATAATTATGTTTGTCTAAAATTCTCTACTGTTATAATCTAATAATAAAATAATATAAAATCAAATACAATATCTCAATTTTACCATAAACAATATAAAATGTCAGAAAATGGTTCAGAAATTAATACTTTTTATACTTTCTGCTGCGAAACTTTAATTCAGACAAAACTCAATTTTTTTCAGCCAATCGTTATCGCAATAGTTTAGACCTTCCTATATTTACGAACGGTAATGTACTCGATGAGTCTTCTACCCTTCATCTTCTAGGATTAACTCTTACTTCTGATCTTTCTTGGAAACCTTATATCAAATCTGTTGCAAAATTAGCATCTGCTAAAGTTGCTTCTCTTTATCGAGCTCGTCACTTTCTTACTCTGGATTCTATTCTCTATCTCTATAAATCTCAAATCCGGCCTTGTATGGAATACTGTTGCCATATCTGGGGCGGATCTTCTAATGATGCCCTTTCTCTTTTAGACAAGGTGCAAAAACGCATTGTAAACATAGTTGGACCTGCTCTTGCAGCCAACCTTCAACCTCTGTCACATCGTCGTAATGTTGCTTCACTTTCTCTTTTCTACAAATACTATAATGGGCACTGCTCTAAAGAGCTAGCGTCTCTTGTGCCATCTACTAAAATTCATTCTCGTGTTACTCCTCATTCAATTAAGTCTTATCCTTTTTCTGTTACTGTTCCTAAGTGCTCCAAAAACTCTTATTCGTCTAGTTTTTCCTCTCGAACATCAGTTCTTTGGAATTTGCTTCCTTCATCTTGCTTTCCTGATTCATATAATTTGCAATCTTTAAAGTTGTCTGTCAATTGTTATCTTGCTCTACAATCTTCATCTTTTCTCTTCCAGTAACTTCCAACACTAATTAGTGGTTGCTTGCAGCCTTGTTGGAAGCGATGATGTTAAAAAAAAAAAAAAAAAAAAAAAACATTTATCAGCTTTTCTTTTTCTGCACTTTTTTGCATAATCATTAATAGATTCTTTAACTGTTTTGCACCATTCATGCAATGCAATTTTTTTTTCTTCGCGTTGAATTTATATTATAAAAATGCTCTTGAACTTTTCTGTTTTTCTGATGGAATTCCATTTTTTTTAAATAGCGTTTGCTTGCAGTTTGCAAATGACTAGAGATGTTATTGTTAACTGGGTTATATAATATATCTCGTCTTTTAAAGTACCCAAGTGCTGTAGTCTTGTTTGCTAATAGTTGATAATTAACTGAAGCTATAGCTGAGTATGTTGAAGTATCAAGACGATTTGTCTTTTTGTTAACTATGGTGTTCATCATACTGAATGAGTGCTCAATGTGAGGACTAATGAATATACTTAGACATGCCTTGATAATTTTACTTAGCTCTAAATATTTTTTCCACTTAAAAACATCTGCCCACCAATAGTCAAAACGTACGAGCTTTCCATCAGCAAATACGGGTGGTTATGCTGTATCTATCTGAAGTTGCATAACTTTTTGATAAAATACTACTTTATTTATATCAACAGTGGGGAAGAAATTTAGGAGTTTTTTAAACATTCTTTCTGTAATTTCGTGACCTTGAGAAATTTGGGTCAATTGCGGAGAGGCATTTTAATAAACGGTTGTTAAAAGGAAATTTATTAAGTAAACTGATGATTCATGGTAGGCTTTTAGCAAGGTCTTAGAAAACGATGATTTAAAGGGATTTTGAATAATTATTCTTGCCAAATATTTTTCAGCATTACTTCCAAGGTATATGTAATTCGAATGACGATACATTTTTTTATCTTTTAGGTTTAAAAATTTTAACTTTGTTCCTGTGTTATTTTTTATCGTTTTTGGCTTAATAAAACAAGTTAAAATTGTTTTTACCAGTTCAATTTGCTCTTCATAAATTTGATGGACGAATGGTTCTTTTTGTTCAAAAGTTAAAATGAATGATTTAGAAATAGGAAGAATTTCAACGTACAAATTAATATAAAGTAAGGTTTTATTATGTCTGAAAAATAAACTTTTAACAATCCTAGCATTTCTTTCTGCACCTTGTTTTGTTAGCTTTTTCTGCTGCTTTGCATTTTATTTTTTCTATTAGTTTTTACTTTCATTTGATAGCCTGTTTAATATTTTGTCACTTTCGTATTTATACAGAGATAACTAAGTAGAATAAATTAAGGTTAAAGCAGGCATCAAGCATAGGTAGTAATCTTAAACAGACAACCACCGATGAGAAACCCTTTGCTTTAAGTTGTATTATGTGACACCTGTGATTTGTACAAAGATCTGAGCTAAACTTAAAATCAATGTAGATATCATCCAGCAACTTTTCAACTACTTTGCCAAAAAAAGTAAACTTTTTGACAACATTGTGCACATGATGACAAATATCACCATCAATATCAAGTAAGTGATGAACCACTTTTCTTAATTTTGTTTCAACCCACCCTCATATAATTGGTAGAATCTGATAAATTGGAAACTAGATTACATAATGGAATTGCGTCTTTGTTAAATAAATGAATAACAGCATTAAAAATATTTTCAGTGTTTACCGTAACAAGCGATAATGATGCATAGTGTTTTATTACAATTTTACTAACTTTGTCACAAAAATATGCTACAAGTATATTGAAAACTTTCTCATTTTTTGCTGAGTAGCATTTGTCTATGTTAAAAGAAAACACTTTTATTATAAAAATAAACAAGATCAGCATGGGTTAAGCTGCGAGTAGGGTTAAGCTTTGCCTAACCCTACTCGCAGCTTATAGAAACCAGTTGTTCTAAACATCTAAAATTATTTAAAACACGATGATCTTTAGAAATTTCCTTTGGGTACTCAATCATATGGGATGTTTAAGATGTTGGAAGATTGTGTTCACAAATAAATGCAAGTGTCATAGCTTCTGCATTTGATGTACGGTCTCTAAAACTTACAAGAGGTTTAATGGTAGAATTCAGTCTATTTGTGCAAGTACTACCAGTATGCACGTTATCCAGAGTGCCATATGACAATATACATGTATCTGTTTTTTTAATTTAGTAAAAAATGATGATGGTATAGCTTGGTTTGACTTAATTGTTGCACAGTTTTGACAATCTATTTTAGACTTTGAGTGGCTAAGTAAAGTTTTTTGTACCTTCTTTTCCATAATAAAAGTCTTTAATACATATTGTACATTGTACCTAAAACATAAAATCAAATAATATATAACTATGATGAAATTGCATATTTAAATTTTCAGTTAGGGAATAAACTTATCGCTCCAGCCTTATCTATCTTTTTTATATAGGCCGAATAATACTCTTCTCTATTATCTTTCTCTTGAAGCCAATTCCAGCAAAACTTGTTTTTAATGTTTTTGTCTATCTCAGAAATGTCAGATAAACTTTTAACTTCCATTTTAAAACTTTTTCTTCTTGATCATATTAACTGATAACAAAAACTTTTGCAATCTTTTAAAACAGAAATTAGATTATTTAACTTTTTACAAAAAGGAATTTTTAATATTCGAAAAAGTTAATTTGAATGAACTAAAAAGAAAAAAAAAAGAAGAAAATTTGTTACGAAAATTGATCTCAAGAAAATTTCAATTATAGAAAATATATTTGTTTAAATGCAAACGTTGTCATATTTAAATTTTATATAATATTTTTCAAATTAATAACAAAAAACATCTGGAAATTTCTGGAAAATTAAAGGAGTTTTGAGTGAAAACTCATATATGTAAAGTAGCATGGTGGACTTGTATGTAAAGGCATCTTTAGTCCTTACTGTATGAATATTTTACCTTACAGTATGTATATTAGCGTTTATTGACTTCAAAAGTTAAAAAAATTTGGGATATAAATAAAAATTGTCAAATTTTTTGGAGAATCCAATTTATTTTTTTATATTAGAAAAATATTTGCTTAGGTGATTAAAAATGTTTGAAAATATTTTTTGTTTTCTTTTACACAGAACAATGAGGTTACTGGACAATACTGTTCATAAAATAAACAGACTTTTAAACAATAAAACAAAGTTTGACTTTATATTTGGGTTATAAAAAAACATGAATGAAATTTTAAAACTATATTTGTAACAATTGTGCAAAAAAAAATTTAATTTTTCAAAAGGTTTTACTGAAACACATTTAATTTTTGTGTAAATGATGATCAGTAAACTTTACTTTTTAATTGCATAATTTTACTATTTATTGTACATAACTGTTAAATGTATATTGCAAGGGTAACCACAGTATGTACATAACTGTTAAATATGTATTGCCACAGTATGTACATAACTGTAAAATGTATAATGCCACAGTATGTACATAACTGTTAAATGTATATTGTTAGGTATAAATTTAAAAACTCTTTCTAAATTTCTTTTATTCTGATTATATATTTTAAAAACGTTTTTTCTTTAATAACCAATATAAACTTTATGTAAATATTTTACTTAAAGAAATAACTTAAAGAAAAAATGGCACCTAAAACCAAGCTAATAAAATTAAGTGTTGCATTTGATACAAGAAAACAGTTTTTAGCTTCAGAACTACCTGTTGTGTGTCATTAATAATTAGCGTGCTAATTATTGACAAAAGTCACA